GACTGCGCCAGAAGGACATCCATGTGGTCGCGCGGTGTGCCCAGCGGCTCGGCCTCCAGGCAGCGCTCGCGGTGGCCCACGGCCGCCAGCACACGCGCTCGAGTCTGGTCGCGCGGCGACACGTAGGGCGCGAGCGGTCTCAGCTTTGACTCCGGCTTGGGCGCGATGTTCTGCCGAGTCACTGGCTCGAGCACGGAGTGGCGCTCGCCAGGACGCGATCGCCGGCCGAACGCCGTGACTGGATCAGGCACGAGACTCGGCCGCGGCACGAACGGCACCTTCTCCCAGTCGCCGAGCGGCTGCCGCTGCAAGCGGAGAAGTCGCCGTTAGTCGGGCGAGCGCGACTCCAGCCGCGGCTATATTTGGCGCGCCCGGTAGCTCCGCTTTCCGACTCCGATTCTCGTTTCGAAATGACCCACTTGCGGAACGCTACCACGATCAATTTCTATCAAAACCTAAGTCCTTATACTAATAGACTCAACGACGTGGATCTAGCTTATCATTAGCAATGATGTTTACAAGCGAACTAAAACCAAAACGGGAACAAGTTAACACTTGGGAAGACAACAAGAAACCCGAGAGATCATAGTATCACGTTGTTATCGTTGTGGCTTGCTGTCACTGAACACGAACACTATGTACATCAATGAGGCAGGAGTGGCGTCTAGGGCCATTTGTTGAGGGACGCGAGTGGCGAAGGTCGAGCTGGTGCGAGGGGCGTCCGGCTCCCGGGAGAGAGTGGAGCGAGGTGCGAGGCACGCTCAGTAGAAGGTGTTAGAAGGGCGGCGGCACTCACCGACACGGTGCTGTAGCTGCTGGGCCTGTAAGGGCGGCGGGTCGTATAGAAGTCACTCTCGTACACCATGGCTGCTGATTTATGATCGTTCGACTGTAACTCGCGACGGTTGGTCCTCGACTGAAGAGAGCGCGCACGCAGAGGTGCGACGCTGTCGACGTTATTTTTAGATCACTGTCATTGCAATTTTCGCGTCATTCCCGAACCCCACGGATTTCACACAGAAATTATAAAATACTTGTTGTTTTGCTTGATGTCACATTGAAGTGGGTTAAGGATAATCAGAACGTCGACGAAGAATGCAACAGAAAAATAATTTATGAAGTGACGCTACCCTGAAGCCAGAATAGTCCATTTGAATCATCAAATATTTTGGATATTTCTATATGTGTAAAATATTTTCAGATTCCTCTGTAGGTCGTAACTGGTGTAGGACGAGGACACAAAGGGAATTTATATTTGACTAACTTCTATCTGCGGTTTCGGCCTGTAGTGTGTATAGCTATATGTATTGATCACTAGCTGTTGCCCGTGACTTCGTCCGCGTAGAATAATGATTTCTGGCAGAAGTTGGGCTTTAGAGTTAGTCTTTATCAAGGGATATTCTACGGTAACGAATTTATTCAGTACCTAGGTACTGAATATCCTACTACTCCTATAGGAGGCCTCCTTCCCCGTAGATGATAGCGTGATAATATGTAGCCTACTTACCTATAATATGTTTACCTTTTTGTTTGATTTGTTAGTAATATTCATGCAAAATTTGAACTAAATCCATGCAGTACTTTTTGAGATCATACAGACAAAAAATTTAAAAGCCATATTTTTGGTTTCGGTATTGATGGCAGGTCACGGGCCAAGAATTGTTTTTAAAAAATATTCAATGTACAGTTTTGACTACTATTTTGTTATAGGTATGTAGGTATATGTGTGTACTGATTATCGCGATTATCATCCCGATTCCTTCAGATGCGTTGAAGTGATTGAGTAATAAACAAACATGCAAATTTTCATATTTATAATATCAGTAAGATTTCATTTTCCTTTGTGGGTTGTTTTAAATCATAGCTTAGGCAATAATAAGGCAACTAAGATAGGTTGATACTTACTTAAGTATACCAGTTTTATTTATAGGTAAATGGGTGTTTCTGTAATGAGTCTGCCGATGAACGATCATATGTTAATTAACCCTTAATCAAATGGATTTTTTTTTCGGTACTGTCAAGTGGGAAATAATTTCCCAATATTTGAATAAGGGTTAATGTATTCATTGTTAAATGTTTTGACACACAAAGTACCTATGTGAGTGCATGAGAGTCAGCGCACAAACTACTTACACTAACGCAGGGGTGCTAGGTAAAGTAGGTACCTACTTTAGATGAGACAATAAAACGATGCAAACACATAGGCGGGCTACATGAACTTGACGCCCACAGGCGTCAAAAAAAAAGGATTGGCCACAGAAAGCTGTAAGAGATGATTTGAAGGAGGGTAGGGAGGCCTTTGCCCTGCAGTAGGACGACCATGGTCGAAATAATTTAAATAAATAAACACAGGCATCTACTTAATGATAATTAAGCTATGATAATGACTACCTACTCGCCAAATAGCTTTTTTGTATTAAATTTTTGCACGTAAACCCACGTCTTAGAGACAGTGCCATTGATATCTACACTACCATATCTTCCATACTAGGATGGCACAGGCACTGGCCTGTGACTCGATGATGATTCGATTCCATATAATAAATAATCCTCAGATATCGGTATTTATTTACCCTAGTACGATTTTCCTAAAACTCAGTGAAAGCCAGATGTTGTTGAAAATGGTCATTTGAATCGTAAATGTAATTAGTTGTGCGGCTTCTGTAATTGTTGCGCACATTTTTTAATTAAATGTGTTGCGCTTATAGTAGGTATTTTAATTATTTAAAAAAAAAAACATTTCCTGCTGGGGTAACGTTACCCCAGCCAGACCTTTTTCTTTCTAATGGGAATATTTAAATAATTACTAGTTATAAAATTAGCTGTCTAGATGAAGTAAATGTGCCTTATTTTGTATTTGTTCTTTCATCGGTTGCGAAGTTATTCGAGATTTTGCTGGGGTAACGTTTTTGGTTTTGCTAGATCTTTGAAACGGTTAAGCGGATTCTTATTATATTTTGTACATGTTTTCTTAGGAATTAGTTTAAATTTGTTCTGCAATAAAAAAACTAAAATAATACATAGCTAAAGGTTATTTCATGAAATAGAAAAACACTTCAATTGGTAGTAAGTCTTTAGGAGCTCTTATTGAGAGTGGCCAGCACTCTCAAAGACTTACTTTAAACGTTATTTTGAAGCTTGTAACTGCCTTCAAATGTATGTAGTTTCATTAGTATCCTGTGTTTAACAGTAGAGGTGACCCGCTTCTCATGTATGAGTGCGGGTTCGAAACCTACCGGCAAGTAGCAGTGTGACTTTTTCCGTGTTACCTATACCTACCTATATCACGGGGGAAAGTAAAAATATCGTGAGAAAAGCTAGACTTGCCTTTGAATTTATAATTATACTAGCGACCCGCCCCGGCTTCGCACGGGTGCAATATGGATGTATTATACATACAAACCTTCCTTAAGAATCACTCTATCTATTAAAAAAAACCGCATCAAAATCCGTTGCGTAGTTTTAAAGATCTAAGCATACATACGGACATACAGCGAAAACGACTTGTTTTATACTATGTATTGATACATAACGTCGCACCTTTTATCCCCGAAAGGGTAGGCAGTACACATTACTGCACTTAATGCCACTGTACAATGTAACACCCACTTTTCATTATTTATGTTGAGTCCCACAGGGGTAAGCCTATTGCCATATACCGGGCACATTTCCAGACTCCGTGCTACTAGGTACCTACCGAGATTTTTTTTAAAACAGTACCTACGGTGCCCGACCCGGGAGTCGAACCCGAGAACCCTTGCCCGGCAGTTAACGAGGCAGTCTTCTGTTCAATTTCTAAAAGTTTGAAATCGCCAACCCACATTGAGCAAGCGTAGTGATTTAAATTACCATTAGTATTAAACATTCTTCGTGCGCAAAAAGTCCTTTGGTCAGCAGTTGCCACTTATTATATACTGTTGATGCAATGTGTGTTGAGACAAACTGGAAATATCTTCAAAAAAGGTAGGTAGGTATTTTATAGTAAGTAGGTATTTCTTGTGCATTTCAGTAAAAATTTGTTTTAACTTGTACCTGGAGTTCAAGGCTTGCAATTTACAAGATAAATTCTTGTACCTATTTGAGGAAAGAGGTTTTATTTTACAAAATTCTTGACTTCTGACGATTTAGGGTAGCTTATTATGCTGGCGCCTATTGCAATATTCGAATAGATTTGTCAAGTAATTGCATTTCAGGGATGTCCAATTTCTAATCGCACTATCATGCATAAATTGTTAACATTATTTTATTCTTGAGCATCGCAAAAGCATTGTCATTTGCATATAACATCTCATGTCGTGTTATCGAAATTATATCAAGTTAAGTTGAGTTTTTACTTTTCTGGCCATTTAATGTAATATAGATATTTTTAGTAATTATTATTTCTGTTTGTGATGCAAATGGTCTTATCTGAATCCCTATAATTTGGTTAGTAAGATTATCTAAAGGAGAGAATGTTTTAAACTCATGTTTTGTAATGAAATTTGTATATTTTCTGCACACTTGATGCAATATTTTTTATAATATGCTCGATAGGCCATACACTACAGAGGCGTACGACAAATTAAGGCAACAATTTCTAAAATTAAAGACCAAATGCGTAAAACTCTTATAGTGCAGGACCTATCACACTCTGTGATAACAGTTATAACAAATCATTTCGTCTCCAAGTTAACCATTCATGTTCATGATATTCATTTTGAGAACAGAAAAAATTTAGTTCTGGTGTTTCACATAAAGGGTACATAGTAACAGAGATCGACGCCACTAATAATACAACAATAATCAAAAGTAATTGTAAACTTAAACTATTTATTTATCCTTTTACAAAATTTACCTTTTTCATTATGAATTTACAATAATTTTTAATCATTCACGTCATCCGAACGTATGCTGTATTCGATCACAGATGGACCTAGCAGTCGACTCATATAAAAAAATTTGGACCCAGAAACATAATACAGTTGTTGTATATTATATCTAGACGGCAAATCAAACACCCGTTGTCCCAGACCCACAGCTTTATTGACTCACCAGTGTTTCCATACAATAAATCATAACAATTCAGGTCAAACAAAACAACATGTGCCCAACTTAATATAAATAGGTCAAAACTGTCTGGCGCGTCGTGTGAGGAGTCTCGGGGAACATAGTTCAGTCTGCCAGCGCAGGGCGCCAATAAATATCAACGTATGTACACGAGGCCACTCGCGACACTACTCCCCCCTATATATTTATAACTTTTATTAAAAATTTATAATTTATTTCGTTATGTCCTATCTATGTAGGTCGACTAACACCGTTGCGCCGTGAATCCGAAACTGTTCGGTGTTGCAAACATGGCGTCATTTAGTTATATCTACTGAAACTAGATGGCGCCAGACAACACTAAGATAATTTTGTGGGTACGGTCGGTCAATAGCAGCGAGGGGAGTCGGCGGCGGACGCCGGGCGGCGCAGGCGACTACCCGCCGCAGCTCTATGAGACACGGCCGTTGGCACATGAGATACCGCCTAGAGCCCTCCGCAGACTCCCGTCGCTAACCACCTGTAAATGAGCTGAACGGTATTGCTATTTTCCAACATTTGTACACTGTTTGACTGCTCTGCCAATAACAACAACTCGAGATATGTACGATAACTCGATTGCATAAATAGTTCGGCACACTACCCGCACTAAGTGACGGTGTTAGGTCCCTCGACTGACAGTGTGCATGCTCTGAAATATACATTTACGACGTGAACAACATCGCCGTCACTCTTTATACAGTAACAAGAACAATTTTATACAAATGTAGTTGCAAGCACGCAACGTGACTTATGGAGTCTCTACACGGAAAACCGCACGGACTTGTACAAAAATAAAATCTAAACCGAAACTTATCTGTCCAGAGACAGTTTTACAAAATTGACGCAGAGTTCGTATTGTATTAGGTCGGATCCGCTGGGGACCGCGTGAGGCACAGGACGTGGCGACATTGCACGGGTGTCGGGGGCGGCTACTGCGACGGATACTGCGCCGACGGCATGGGCGACGCGTACATCAGCGGCGCCGGGCCCCCGCCCCACCCGCCGCCCGCGCCCGCGCCGCCGCCGCCCGGCATGCTCATGCGGTACCCTGCTGCAACAACACAAACCTCGCTTACACAACTATCAAGATACACAACTAATTCATTTCCGGACCATTTTCCTCCTTATACCCATAAAAGCATCTAATTTACCTACAGTATCTAATGGCTTATTATTACTGTAAAACAAAGTGACCATTAGTCAATGTAATACTTACTACTCTTATGATCTCTGACGGAAATGATACTAATGTCACAGAAATTACAAGTTAACTTAAAATATTTCATTACAAGTGTTTGTTAACATTGGAAGTAGTTGTTACAAATTGAAATAGTAAACTGCAAACTAGTCATTTAGCTATAAAAAGTTCGCAGCAAGTCGTTAGTTAACTCGGCACTCGATAACACAATAGAATCGAGGTTTTAGATAATGTTATTTGATAGCAACACGAACATATGTTTGACAATATCTATCAATTTGTACATTTTGAACCTTTGTTACCCCTTATTTGGGTACGTTTTAGTTTAGACAATTGATTTATTGAAAACAAAAAATACATAACAATAACGCCTGTCACTACATAACATATATAGCTATTTTTTTCCTAGACAGGTTAGGCAGAGGTGCACAGTTATCCACACCAACTTTTTGCCAGATATTTTACCAGTCTTATGTAGCTGGAGGAGGTGAACACTACCAGACTCCTTGCATTTATTACAAGATATTATTCAAATCCAAATCATTTTAATAATATTGTACCCTGCTCAGGAATTAGACACAAGACCAAAGCACTAATCAAGACAGAATATTAATCAACAAACAATCGAATTGAAAAATAAATATGATAGAAACATACCTGCCGCTGCAGCTTGCGGGTTACTGTAGGCGGTGGCGTACTGCTGGTAGTACCCGGGCGCCATGTACCCTTGTAACGCCGGATAGCCCTGTAATCACACGCACGCTCGTTAACCCAAACGTAAAACATTATCAGCTACATCGACACGCAACGTGTAGTAAAATATATATCCGTGCTTTAAAATTTGAAACTAGGAAATAAATAGACGTTTTTTTTCTATTGTTTGTTTCGTTGTTTTGTTAATTGCTAGTATTTAGCTTTTGTAGTTAGAAGTATGACAAATATTGTTTCTTGAACATTAAAATAAATGAGTTCTAGGTTGGTTTCCAAAGTGGTTAAGATAGTATGCTCTTTTATTTTAAGTAACATAACAATAGTCAAGTTGAACTAAAAAGTTTGCAAATAGAAAATTGAAACTATATATCTCGTTTGCGCTTGAGACCATTAACGGTGTTTAACACGTTAACCGCCGCTTAGGTCACCGGTGACCTACGTCAGCGGAGGATTTGCCTTCAGCAGTTTTCTGTCGGCAGTCAAAGGCTTAATTACTAAAACACTCACACACAGAGAATATTACTTTCTTTATACTGAAAAAACACTTTTTAACAAACACATTTAAACAACAAACAATCATGCTTGTCTATCAAACATATCGTCTATACTAAACATTTCACATATATCCATGTCTATACAAAAATACACCAAAAATGTACTATGTTAAGTTTTATATTTCATTGTATTTAAGAGAAATATCACGCACAGTGGGTAAACCCCGCACACTCTCAGAAAACCAAACGTACTTAAAATTCAACAGTTCCAATTGTTAGCCCACTTCATGAATGTAACTTTCAATGGACCGTATTTGCATATTTCACGCGTAACTAACATGATCTATAAGACGTGAAACGTACTGTATATCATATCGATTACAATGAAATTATACAGCAGTTTGTGTTTCTGTTATAACTAGTTATCCGCAAACTTCATTCAGGCGGAAATTCGTACATTTTTCCGAGTAAAAAGTAGGTAGCAATCAGCATATTGTGTATAGCGTCCATTTTTATCTAAATTCATACAGCAATTAGCAATATTTGGTGTGATAATTGAGTGAAATATAAACATAATTTAAAGTTATGAATGTGTACCTAAGAATAGTTCATTAGTTTAAAAACTAATCAGGAAATAATTTAAATTCAATTTTTTTACAAATATATCTTTTACTAGGTAAAAATAACAATTATTCTACAGGAAAATACTTTATTGCATTTTGAGTTCGATTTACTTCGAGTTATTGAGGTAACATTTCGTCTTGTTAATTTTCGGAATACCCTACAAATAAAAAAAATGCTTTTTAGTCCAGTTTCGTATTTTGGTCTATTGACTTAGGTTGGTATGGTCTATATTATAAGTCGAGATTTTATAGTCTAATAATAACTTGTGAATTTTATTTCAGTCATTCAAATTACCTTTTTTAGACCAAGTTAGTATTATGGTTCGTCCTTTTTGTAGTGTTATCTACTTTAAATTCGGGAACCGTCAAAATTGTTAAACTAAAAATATTGTTATTTCAAATTCAAAATGTTAATTGCCCTTTAGAAAAACGGTATAGGCAATAGGCACATATCTAAAATCAATAAATGCATAGTCATAAATTACTAAGTATCTATTCGACTTTTATTGCATTACTGGTAATAAACATCTGAAACAAGTATGTCAATGCTAAGGAATTCAGTGTAATTATGTGCAAGAGAAATCATTCATAACTGCCCGAAGTAGCTTTACATAAAATGAACAGCTAAAACCGTATTATGGTTCCTTTCTCTAATAAGGTGGTCGGATGCGAAGAACTGAAGATTGAGCTCAGTGGCATCCTGTTGGAGATGCCTAAGTCCAGCTGTTGCAGCAAACAAGCCGACGATGAATTTAAGAACATTAACATGTAAATTGTATGCTTACCGAAATTGTAGCATGTATAAACAAATTATTATCTATGATTATATTTATAACTAATATAGCACTTTAATTTTTTATTAAAATAGTACTAAAAATGTTATTTACTAACTCCACTGAAATTTAATTGAGAAGCTGAGATTGTTATCAAAATATTTGTTAGTTTAGGCGAGAGTGTTACGCTGACGTCACGACTACGTAACTACTAACTTTTGTAACTACAATAAAAATGCAGATAAGAGAAAAATTATCAGCAAGTTCACAATAGCCACATTTTTGAAGTCAAATATGCACCTACGGGTGTAATGATAAATACAATATGTATAAATAGAATATTTAAACAGATTTACCTTATATATTCTGTGAAATTTAGCTAAACAATGTTAATTGAGATACTAACTACAAATTTAGAAAATATTGCTGCAAACATAAAAAATTTATAAATAAAGATAATACTAAAGCACACACTAAGGAAAGGAAAAATACAATTTAATACATAATTACATATACTAGATCTACATAATTATATCTATCTCTTTCATGCACTCGTAGATAAATTAAAAAAAAGCGTAACTTATTTGAGGAAACCTCATTTCATACAGCTCTTATTTCTATCAACACATACATAGCTATTTTAGGAACAAAACCAAGTTCTACTACTTCAAAAAATCTACCCAAGCAATGTAATATAACAATTAAAATGGTAAAAGTGCAAAACAAAACTAATTACCACACAAAATTATGATTTTTTAATCTGAAGTACTACCTGATTCTGTGCGCAAAAACAATAAAAAATACAACGTTAGATTAGACAAGAGAATTGTAAGTCGGTCAAGGTTGAAAGTTTGTGTGTGATCAATATTATACAAACACACATACAAACAATAATGACTGTTTGTTTCATGAGACTTGCGCCGGCGTCTCTTTGGATTTTACAGCTTTCTAACCTTGACCTAATGTACGATAAAATGTTCACATACAATCATTAATCCTTCAGTTAAACTGTTAATGTTTCCTTGTTGATAACAGTTGCTGTTTTATCAAATATGCTATTTTATAAAATGGGTATCCCCCAAGTACAAAATTTTTAATGCAGACTCAAAAATATTGAATGCACGTGAAATGGTGCGTCGTGTTTTCAACATTAACGGCTGTAGCTAATTAAATCAAGGCTGTTTATCGTTAGGTTAATATCAACAATTAAGCCACATACCCATATTTCGGCTTCATTTAAAATATTAATTGATGCATTGCCATTGCGTACACAATAAAAAAGGAAACATTTTCTTCCCCATATTTGATTACAAGTTGGCCTAAGACATTTGTCTGCATTAAATCTATTTAATAGTTGCTTTTTTAAATTACCGGGATAATTGAAGTAGGTGACTAAATGTATAAGGGTAGACCAAGGAAACCTTTCAGATTGTTCAAAATTGTACATTGTGACATTAATTTGTTGCCATGGTAATTTTCAAAAGAAACACTTCGAATGGTCTAATTATAGATAGATAATAAATAGTATAGTTAATTAAAAAGTAATAATTGCTGACATTTACCTGAGCATACCAGTATCCCATGCCTTGTTGATATGGATACGGGTACTGCGTTTGCGCTCCCATAGCGGGCGGCGCTGCTGTCGCGTTGTTCGTGCTCTGAAATTGATCATAATAGACATGTTACTTTAATATTTTTTACAAGACAAAATATACATTAAAATTATACATTTTATATCTATGAAAGTTTAGGAACCAAGTAAACAAGTTTCTATAATTTTATGATTAAGAGATATTTTTAATATTTTTGATAATAATTATAAGTCAACAACATTAAAAATGTCTTTGTGTCTTTGTTGTTTTGAATTATGAAAATGAAAAGCTTTTGAAGTTTATTATTCGGATAAGATAGTCTAGTTTGAACAAAAAATAATAGTGTGAAAAATATAAATCTTAGAGTACCTAGCATAAAAACCTGCACTTTTCAAGAAGGTGGGCGCAATAACAAAGTTATAATATTTATATTGTGCCCGGGAGAACATAATATTATCACCATGGTACATTCAAATAAAATTCCTGCATATTTTGTATTTCAACGTATAAAAAAAGAACAAAACAATATGTGTACATTGATTTCTCATATCTTGAGGCATTAGTGCATATAGCTTCTATGTACAGTGATAATGTTATCAGATAATCACATAGTTTGTCATTTATTGTGATTTCTAAATATGCAGCAATCTTTTTAAGGAATTTTAAACTGAATGAATGTTAAATGCACAAAAGATAAAAGTTTTAAATCGATTTTTAAACCTAATGCGCGTGCTCAGTGTGAAATTGAGTAAATTGTCATGGCGAAAGAAAGTGCAGAAGAAAAAATTAAGTTTAAACTGTCAATCACCAAGCGGTCACCGGTGACCGCAACCTATTGTTCTATAATTGTGTCTACAAAACCGGTACTCGACAAGTTAATTAAGAGATCACAACGTTAAATGAAGAACAAAAATGATTTTGTACAGATCTCATTAGAAATTCATATGAAATGATATTGTACTCGACGAGTTAAAACAAAAGATTACTAAGTATAAATTGACAACAAAGTAAGCTACTAACAAGGGACAAAATTAGAATGAAGAACAAAACAACAATATATTTATATATTTTTAAACAAGCATCCAGACTCCACTACAGTTTACTTGTATGAATTACAATCCATTAATTATTTTCAGACTGTGAAAACAGAAGAAAAGTAATCCAAGTTTCAACTAAATAAGGTCACTTTTACAATAACAGTAAACAAGTGACTATGCATTTTTAGTCAATGTTGTAGAATTCTACAGCTACTAACATCTTGTGGAGAGTATAAAAATACGAATATTACAGGCAGGAATGATTGTATTTAATTTTATGTGATTAAGAAATTTTAGACTCTAATGTCATCAAAATATAACCTAAAATATATGCTTTGTTGTTCTACGAGTAATCAACAGGTTGAACATTAGAAACTGGTATAGGCCACCTGATTTACATAATATGCATATGGAAAATAACGTCCAAGTTTATGTCCAGTCAAAATATTTAGTTTAGCATACAATTTCTAACATTTACTGACCCAATTACAATGTGTAATAAAAATTGATTACAAAACTATTTAATATGGTTTTATTTACTTTTCAGCTCGTAGAATATTGTGTCACGAAAAAGAATTAAGACTTATCATTCATGAATAATAAGTGTTGCTATGTGAAATTGTAAGTTAGGTTATAATTGGTTGACCATCATTATAATGGTTGTATACTGTGGCAGTGGTTGTTTATCAACCATAGACAGACCCAAATCGAGGCATGATAGGCTAGGCAGGTAGGATTTAATTCAAACAAGTGTTGAAAATATTTACTTCAATATTTATCCTAGAGTGATGTAATTTATAGGATCAAGAGCTTGGATATAATGCTATGACATGAATGGTGTTTGTTGTTTTGCCATATAATCAAAACTTCAAGCATTATGACCAAAATGGCCGGTTGCTAGGGTGTTGTTTATCTTCAATTATTCGGCTGACTACAAAGATGGATAAGAGTAAAATCTCCAGTATAGAATTCTTGCATGATTGTCACTAAATAATGCAGACTAACAGTAAAGAAATGAAGTTCAGTATTTAGCTATTTACAACTGATACATATTAAATATTAAGTACATAAGCTTCCAATTTCAACTTTCTTTGACTATGAGGAATTTAAAATAATTTCTTTACAAAATGACAAATGCAAAACAAAATAACTATTTCTAAATAAACTTCTTGAAAATATACATTATAAATGTATTTACTTACCTGTATAATACTTACACACAAAGCTTACTGATTTGGCAGAATATTTACTTTCATGACTATAATTAACAGGTTTCCCCATACAATCTAGCATAATGCCCACATGTTAGCATAAATTTCGTTAAACTTTCTAAAATATCTCTCTTCAGTGCCAAATCAGAATATTTACACCTCTTTTCACCTAATGTTTGCTCTGTAGGCTGCAAAGAAATGTTAATTACCTGTACATAAATATACAAACCTGGTTATCGCCTCCTCCGTTCTCTTTCCCCCAGAAACATTTGACTATGTGCCCACTAATTTCTGTGTTGTGTGTTGCTTCAATGGCATGTGCTGCCGCTTCTTTAGTTGTAAACCTAATAAAGGCATAACCTTTATCCCTGAATACTCTTACATCCTGTATCTGGCCAAACTGTGAGAATGTGTTCTGCATCAAATCTTCAGTAATAACATTGCTAGTGAACCCGCCGCAGTACACTGTTGTGTTTGTCGGTGAGCTCTGATTGTATACCTCATCAAACGTTGGCTGTTTTGCTCGCTTGCTGCTCGGTGCACCTTCATTAGGCTTAGATGGAGGTTTACGCGTCGACCAGTTCGTACGTATGGACCGAGAACCTAACCATTGCCCATTCATTGCTTGAATAGCGGCCTCTGCATCAGCCTTCTTAACGAAAGAAACGAAAGCATACCCTTTAGATTTGAGCGTTTGTGGGTCGCGGACTATCCGACAATTCGAGATTTCACCAAACGGAGCAAATGCATCTCGCAATATGTGCGTTTCAATTTCCGGTGATAAATCTCCTACAAATATGTGATGATGGTTGCTGGTATCAGTCTTCGGCTGATTGCCAGGACTCGTAGCCCAGTTAACCTTCATTTCCTTGTCGAGGACCACTCGCTTGTTCATGGCGGCCAGAGCTGTAGCTGCCGCCGTGTGACTTGTAAACTCGAGGAAAGCATATGGATCGTTGCCGGGTTCGCGGATTATCTTACAACCTTTTACTTCGCCTATTTGACCGAACAACGTACATATGAATACTTCTGTAACACTCGCGTCCAAATTACCGACGTAGAGAGTTTTAGGATGGCTTTCGTCGCCCATATTAGCTTATATCGTAATCTAGTGATTACTTAATTACGACTATGAACACTAATATTGAAAATAAGCGTTAATCAACGTGTTATTTCATCACATAAAACATTGGATGACGGATAAAAGAAGGAAAAATGTCGCAAACAGCGCCTAGAACTTCTCGAAAGACGTTGCTGTTGACTCGTGAAACGTTCACTTTTCGGAAACAAACGCATCTATAGACGAATATCCGGTGGAATTGATTTGAAAACTTGGCGGGAAGAAAATAAAATTATGAATTTTGGCTGTAAAAATGACTAAAAATGTATTTTGTTGTTAAAATTACTATCTAGGGGCAAGTAAGAGTAATAATTGGAGTTTTTTAAATAATAAAATAATTTTATATGAATTTATAATTTCGAACCATAAACAATGTAAACTAGAGTTCATAGATTTTATGCAAACTTTTCCGGAAACGAGTGTCAATTGAAAGTCTATGACTCATCACGAAGTGCTCTCTCGTTTACAAATAATTGTTGTAGATCTATTATGTCATTGGTTACAAACATGTAAATGTCATTATTAGCCAATAGAAAAAAGTTCAGTGTTTTTAAATTGCAAGTCTCTCAGCATAGACAATGCAAAAATTTAGGTTAGAAGAAAAATACCGAAATTCATAATTTTACTTAATTAAAATTAAATTAATATTTGATAATTTTGAAAGCTAATTCATTTTTAAAGCTAGCTTCTCATAATATATAAAATTTACCTGTTTTAATATATTCTATCTTTTAATTTTCCTTATGGATGTTTGATATTCAATTTATTTTATCGGGCTGAGTGTCAAACAAATTGTAATGAGTAAAACCTATTTGGTTACGCATATTTTGATCGTAGTTAAAATTATAAGTACATTATTGATTTATTAAAATAACAAAGAATAAAACATTACGGTTAAGAAATTGTTTACTCAATTCTTAAAATCGTGCCTCATATTTGTTTCTTTGTTGGTAACATTTAAGTCATTTTGACAGTTCATTAACGACAAGTTGAGTTGTCGCACGATGTAAAGTTTATAAAATAATAAAAAAATCTTAATTAAAGTTTACGTAAATAAAATAAGTAACGATAATAGACACTGAAGTGTTTTACATATAGTATTTTGTCTTATTTTTTTTACTTAGAGTAATTATCGTGCGAGGTTAGAACCGCTTGTCAAGTACACGTATGCAGCTATGTTGCTTGAAGATCTGTTTTTGTGATTCTTAAGTGAAATGCCGTAAAGAAACCGTAAAAAATAAAATAGAAACAATGCTGCCCCTTACGCAAAAGGACACGCGGGTTCCGCGTGGAACAGTTGGTGGAATACGTGAAAAGATCGCAAATTGGATGAGACTAATTTATTCTGATAAGAATTCTAGGAATTTATTCATGTTCCTTCTTCTAAATTTGTCATTTGCGTTTGTTGAATTATTTTATGGTATATGGACGAATAGTTTAGGTAAGTACAGAACACAATATTATTAATGAATCAACATATGTTTTGGAAATTGATAGCCTCAGAGCATATTGTGCCATAAAGCAGTACTTTTACATTTTATTGTTTGTTGTAGGTCTAATATCTGATGCATTCCACATGTTCTTTGATTGTACGGGCCTGGTGGCAGGATTGGCTGCTTCCTTAGTGTCTAAATGGCGTGCTAACGAAAGATATTCTTATGGATATGCAAGAGCTGAAGTACTGGCTGGTTTTGTAAATGGACTGTTCCTGTTATTTATAGCATTTTTCATTATGAGTGAGGCTGTGGAAAGAGCTATCGAGCCACCTGAGGTAAATACTCTTTTTTGTTTATTTTCCTTCAAAGTTAGTTTATATCATCTGGTTGCTAAGTGGATGAAGAATTATAGTTAGTTAAATTATATGCTAACAACTAGGTTCAGGTTGATATCAGTTGTATGAATAGGTTTGTTTCAAGTAATTATTCTAAATAAGTGCACACTGAACCTAATCCAGTGAGTTTACATCACACATCTCCTAATAATAATACAAGATAAAGTAGTCACTAATCCTTTGACACAAAAATTGTATTTATCTAATAACATTTTTATTTATTATTTTATTGGAACATAAACAATTTGAAAATTAGTTTACTATAGGAGAAATTAATAAATACACTTCATACTTATTCAGGTATATTTTGAAATCATTCATATTATGCTACAATACTTTATCAGCAGCCGATAATTTTTTCAAAGATTAGGTTATGCTTATAACTTAAATTTTTATTTCTCTTATCAGCATTGATGTTTAGTGTAACAAGTTTATAACATTGACTGTGTATTCTGCTATCTAAAGTTTGATCTACTTGAATAATGTTTAATTACTTGGTTTTTGACCAAGCTACTTAGCTCCCTACTACATGGGTCTCAAAACATAACAGGTGGCAAGTGGGTGTTACAATTAGTATATTATCCAATATACTAATTGTAAACCTTTAGGAAATAAAGGATGTTACTTAGCTATGAACAAAATATAAAACATTTATATTAACTTGTTTGTTCTATAGCCACAGAATGCCATCTAGTATGGTTGTAATAGGTGCTCTGTAGCTTTAACTACATTGATATGAATTTTGTGTTAACTGTGTATGGGATTCAAAGCAAGAGCTTCTGTTTTGATAAACTTTCATCATTATCATGTCCAAAAGACATCCACTGCTGAACATATTTAAGTTTTCACCAATGATAAACTTCGAACACAAATAGATTCTTAATTAATTGAATTAAAATGTAGGTAAATTTTGTATACTGGGGATTTCTCATTTCCTGATTATGTTAAATGCATAAAATATCCTTATAACTATCAATAGAAGTGATGTTCTTGAAATCAAGGCAACAAGTCTTAGCAAAGTGATGTATTTGAATGTCAAGGTAAATTGTAGAGGAATCTAATAACTTTGGTACCTACCAAAGTTATTAGATTCCTCTACAATTTACCTTTCTTTAATTCTACCAACCTACCTAGTTTGGTAGAATTAATTCTTAGTAGTAGCACGGAGTCTAGATATGTGCCCGGTATATTATGGCAATAGGTTCACCCCCTATTATATGGGACTCGTAACATAAATAGTGAAAAGTGGGTTTTACATTGTACAAAGGCATTAAGTGCCGTAATGTGCACAGAGGCCTATCCCTTCGGGGATAAAAGGCTTGATGTTATGTTATGTTAAAATTCCCTACTAAAGATATAAACTTTTTGCAAAAAATGCCGAAATTCTGCCTAAGTATAGAAGCCTAATCTATTAACTAATGGGTTATTAAAATTGGCCATAAGCCAAGACTCTGTTTCACTTAGCAACTAACTAAATGAATATGAAATTACTCATAAATACAAACCATTTCAACGCTTTACAAATTTCCTTGAGCTGATAACGGAGTCATAACATACACGAAATGCTACTTTACATCTTTACCATACGTTTTAAATTAAGTTGTGTTTCTTAATGTCTTGTTATATCAGCAGAACTAATCGCCTTTATGGTCCCATTGACTTGTCAAAAACAATAAATCTTTGAAACTATGTAGTTTAGAATAAAATCACATGTATTTAAAAGTTGCTTAACTTTTTAGTTTGACAAAAAGTAATAGGATTATAATATTAGTAAGTTAACATTATTTCTATAAAATTTGCATATTCAATATAGAATTTAAATAAGAATTTAGATAGGTGCAGCAAGACACCAGTGTCTTCAAATCGGAAATCAAGCATTGAATGTAGTTTTGGGCGCGCTCGTCGCTAGCTTCATCGCCACTTGGTGAAATACTCGTAGCCCTCAAGCGCCACCCTATTAAATATTGTCAGAAATAGGAATAACTGCCGTACTGAGTACACTGAGTACGCTCAGTCTTTAACAATTTTCAACGGAACGAAACCGTACTAAGGAATAGCTTAAGTAGATAATTATTGAAATATGCCTCCGAGTACGGCAGTTAGACACAAATCTAAACTCCGTTAGCTAATAATTTAGTTGTTTGATTAATAATGTAAATGTCATTGTAAGAAAAAATAATGTTTTAATAATCATTTGACCTTCTATTGCATTCTAACTAGGACCTCACCTCCACCCTAAATACACCCGCCATACTTACGAAGTTACGTAAATTCCACATAATAATACAAGTGACCTAAAATACAACCAAATCAGTCATAAATCAACAATAAATACACAAAAAAAAACTTACTCAGTATACCTCAACTTTCCCCTGTACAAACCATGCAATTTTCGACACAGTTTTTTAGCAATAATGTTGAAATTGTGTTGGCAAATTGTTCTGATCAGAAGGCACGTATTTGATAACCATTACCAATAGGTATTTGTCTACTAAATAGGTGTTGTGTTACGGTATCAGAGAAATATTTGCTTTAGAATTAGATCTTGAACTAATTTTACTAGTTACATGTTAATGTCCAAACTTAAGAATGTAATGTTTTATTATGGTTTAGAAATGAACAGTTTCTCCCTGATACTTAATATTCCATCTCTATTTTTAATATATTTTACTTCCATTTGATCTATAAATCACTACTACTGCCACCTTAAAAAAGAAACGGGAAATGTCGACCTTAAATTTTTTTGACGCTGAATCTTTATAAGTTATCGTTCCGATGACCGATTCGAAAATCACAAAGATGCAGTCTACCTTCAAACCTCGTAACCGACGAAGGTTTTACATACATTAGATACAAATTTAGGTCCTTTTTATGTGTGTTAACATAACATTACATCACGCCTTTTATCCCCGACGGGGTAGGCAGAGGTGCACATTACGGCACTTAATGCCCCTGTTCAATGTAACACCTACTTTTCATTATTTATAAATAAATAAATTAATTAATAATATTATAAAGAGGAAAGATTTGTATTTTTGTATGTTTGTAATGAATAAACTAAAAAACTACTGGACCGATTAATATAATAATATCACGCTAGGTCCTATAGTTGTGGAGCAGTAACCAAAAATATTTTAAAAACGGGGGAAACGTATCGTTTCTGAGGCCTTCCGTGGCGTGCACTGAGCATATAGTTAAAGTTATACAAAAATGCTCTATACAGAAACTCAGGCAATGTGATGGGAGTAAGTAAATGAAGTCCGGAAAAATATTTTCAAAAGGTAAATACTTCCTAAATAAAAAAAAAACTGAGTATAAATATAAATAAAACGTAAAAC